CATCTGTGTCATCAACATAATGATGTTGGATAAATGAACAGGTCTGCAATCAGAGGTGTACAGTAGGTAAGGAAGGGACTCGGCAGATAACCCTGAGGAGCTCCAGTGTTCAGTGAAATGGATGAGAATGTGTGTGGGCCAAGTTTCAAGGTCGGAGTCCTTTATCTGGTGCAGAGAAAGCCCAGTGGATGAGTTTGCTGACTAAATGACTGGGATGATGGTAATTGATGGAAACAGTCACTAGCTAGAATTGGCTAATGTCCCCTAAATAATGTTTTTAATTTATTTTTTACTCACTTCACTGCTCGTATTGAGTCTGATTATGTTGTGTAACGATGACATTTTGCTGTTTTCTCTCAGCGAGTGATTCCGAACAGAAGAAGCTGGATGACATGAAGATCTGCACGCTGGAGAAAAGGAGACGTAATCTTTCCAAGATGCACCAGAGAACTCAAAGGTAGTCAAATAATATTTGGAGTTATTCAGGTAGTTTAAACAGAAGTGTAATTTACCAGATCAAAATAACTTTGTTCCGCAGGCTGTACGAGCAGCTGGAGGAGGTGAAGCATCGGAAAGCCTTAAAGAGTCGACAGGAAGATTATGCAAAAAACAGACTGAAAGCTAAGGAGTTCCACAAGGTGAAGCGCTTTAATCATACGTAGGCTTCTTGGAGCTGCAGGAACTTCCTGAATTTAAGTTAAAAGAATGTTTTTCTCCCATCTCTTCACAGAAAACCTTACAGAAGCTTCGTGCCAAGCAGACCCAACAGTGACCGACTTTGATTGTGTCATAGTTTACTTTGAAAATTTAATTTATAGTTTTATCAATAAAGCATTTTAAGTTATTTGCACTCAAACTGAATCAGAAAATTTATCAGATAAAATTATGCAAAGTAAAAATATTTTGGCAAATAACAATACTGAATATTTGAAATCACTTTCACACAAGTGTCTTTAATAAGGAAACATTCAGGAGGTCGTTTACAGATGTACAAAGTGTTTCTCAGCTCAGTCAGTTAAGATTTGCCTTAGTTAAATAATATCCATATCTGATATTAGAGCAGGAGAAATATGAACCTGGATGAATTATTAAACACATAATGACATTAAAATACTGTCTAGTGTGGATACAGATCTCCAGCTAGTAAATGTAATTTTCATTTATAAAATTGGTGTAAGAACGGCCGTAGTGGAGGAGGAAAGAGGCACTTTCTGTATCTGAGCTTTGCCTCACTGCTGTTCAGAGTTTAGAGTATGTCTTCGTTTTGGGACTCTTCTTCTCGAGGGCTGCCTGAGCTGATTTCATCAGATCTTCAGTCTGAAGCATGCTCATGTTCCACGTGGCCTGGAGAAGGAGAAATGATGAACTTGAGTGCTTTATAAAGGGAACTTCAGCAGGCTCATATGCATTTAACTGAGCGTGTCACACCCCTTTATGTTATCAAGTGTCATATAAAAGACACCAGGAAACTGAAATGGAGGGAATGAGGTAGCAATGCCAGATTCCTTCCGGAGAACTGAGAACATGAACCTAAAGTTTGACCTGAATTCTCTCAGTAATCAGGTTCTTCATCATGAAACTAACAAAAATATGCACAGAAATCTTTGTCATATTATAACCATTCGTCTTGATGCATGCCCAATTATCCAGGAAAGGAAATCCCAAAAACTTGATTCTGTTCATCTGGATGTAGCATTTTCAGTGGGAAACGTTTTTGTCACTTGTTTGGGGAAACCAAACAACCTCTGGCTAAGTGGATGGCACAACACAGAAGAGCTACCTTGTCAGACCAGGACTCTGCAGTCTATTTACACCTACAGGCCAGTGGACACTCTTTCAATGATGAGGATGTAACATCCTGATCATTGGTCATTGATCACTGAACTGACCTCACAGCCCATTGTTCATTCAGTGGGCGAGTTTAGTCTTTGTGCAAAGGTACTATTTGTAAGGTTGGGGAAACCTGCACTCAGCTGAGACTGAAGAAACATTTCTCCCACTGAAAATACTACATCCAGATGAACAGAATCAACCTGTGGGGATATTCTTCATTGTGAAGCTGACAAAAATATGGACAGAAAACTTTGTCACATTATACTCCTCCTTACAATGTAATCCAATCCATCTGCTACGCTGTGGTTTCTGGCATAGATGAGGTTTATTTTGGTGCCCTGCACAGCAACTGGGCTGCGACCAGCAATCTCTCCAGCAATCTCCAGAGCTCCAGCCATCATCGCCTCCTTATCTGCAAACACTCGGCTGAAGAAGAAGGGAAGGGTTTTCAAACTGTTAGAATAAATAAGTGCTTTTAATTTGGAAAAAGAGTGA